ATGAGATGAGATGAAATGAGAAGAGAAGAGATGAAGTGAGGTGAGTTTAGATGAGATTAGATAAATGAGATGATATGAAATGAGAAGAGAAGATGTGAGGTGAGGTGAGGTGAGATGAGATGAAATGAGATTAGATGAAATGAGATTAGATGAAATGAGATTAGATGAAATGAGATTAGCTGAAATGAGAAGAGAAGAGGTGAGGTGAGCTGAGATTAGATGAGATTAGATAAATAAGATTAGATGAAATGAGATGAGATGAAATAAGAAGAAAAGAGGTGAGATGAGATGAAATGAGAAGAGAAGAGGTGAGTTGAGGTGAGGTGAGGTGAGATGATATGCGATGGGAAGAGAAGATGTGAGGTGAGGTGAGATGAGATGAGTTGAAATGAGAAGAGAAGAGAAGAGATTAGATGAGATGAATTGAGATTAATTGATTTAGTATCAGATAAGATAATCTCATATTAAATTAATTAAAAAAATCCGTCTTGACGAAATGAAGATACATTTTTATGCTAAAACTAGATGGTATTCAATATCCTTATTTGGTCTTCGCATCACATTGTGAACATTGCCTCTGTTCTCGTTCTGATCTCACTCTATTTCTTACTTCTGACTCTACACACCCACTACTTACAAGCAATTATTCTTTTCGTCTATTCGTCCTACTGCACATTTTACTGGCCATTTTCATTAGCTACACCTTTTCCCTTTTTGCCGACATCTCATTTTCCCTCTCGCCCATCTCCCGCCCTGTCTCTTCTCTCCACCGTCTGCACCCCGAAGACGTTCCCTTCGACTCACTCGAGTCGTCGTCGCCGCTTCTGCCATCTCCGCGGCAGTCACAATCGCCCTCCTCGCGGTGCGGACCAGTCCAAGGCTCATCTGCCGCCTGGACGCCGGCCGGCTGGCGGTCCCGTCTTTTGGAAGTGGCCGGCGAGCTGGTCTACTGCCGCGATCTGGCCGCTCAACTCGTCCATTTGCGCAGTCTCCGCAAAGCCGCCTTCCAGAATCAACTGGCCGGTCGACTTAGAGACGCCGCTCCTCTCACCGCCACCGCGCTCGACGCCGGATCCGGATCCGGCGCCGGACGCGACTCCGTCGAATGCGTCGTCGAGCCGGCCACGACGCCGGCGGCTCCAATCACACCCGCCCAGTCCTTGGCACACCAGCCACTCTTCACAGCTTGTGCCTATTCAGAGCTGGCCCGTCTTCTGGCCACCTATTCCTTTTCACGAGAGATTCGCAGCCTTTTGCAGATGGCCTTTCTCGGGCTCGAACTTGCCGAGGTCAGAACTATCTTTTGTTTGTCTCACCTTTACACTTTTACAATGCCTAGCGCTTAGTCATTTCGACTTTTGAGTACAGTATGGGCTCACATTTTTCCGTGTGATTGTATTTTAAGTGAAGGTATGAAGACCAAGATGGTGTGGCCTTTTGTGTGGTCGCAGTCTCCTTTCGTTGTATAGAAGT